AGGGCAATTTCTGTAAATCTATCTATAAATAATCTTTTTATTATATATAAAAAACTACATAGCTCATCTAAAGACAATTTTATCCTTAACAAATTCTACGTGTCAAGCGCCTATATGGCCACTATATTCACTCATTTTCTATAAAAATGTCATGTGGCCACTTCTTCCCCAACGCCTATATCGTACCACCGGAGTACGGTTGTCACCGTACATCCGATGACATTTTAGTAATTTAACTGATAAATCACGGCTACCACTAAATGAGCATTAGTGTGCGTGTAGTGAGCGTTAACATATTTTATTGAGTATTAGAAGCCTAATAATGAACATCACGATATCTGCTTCATATCTTTTATTTTATTTTTTGTTTCTTATTTTTTATATATATAAGAACTTATTAAATTATATCTATGATCCACTCCTAAAGCGAATCTAATGTAATATGATACTTTTGAAATATGCATTGATATGATCTTTTAAAAATGAGCATAGCTTCAGTGCCAAATGAGCATAAATAACTTAAAAAGTTGAACATCACGATATTAAAATCTACTTTGATACTAAAATCGTAAGGTTTGTTAGTTGAACATCACGATATTTTCATTGAGCATCAAATATCCGTCATTGAGATGAAAATCACGATTTCTGTTGAATGAGCATTAATGTAATTTTAACGAGCATCCGATCTAATCTATTGAGTATTATGAGACAAACAATGAGCAACGCGATCTCTACTATATACCCAGTATCTTCTAATTCACCTTCTTTTTCTTACGTTTTCTTTTATAAAGACTTAATAAATTTATCTATAATCAACTCCTATGAATTTCAATATGCTAATCTAATGTAATATTGTACTTTTGAAATGTGCATTGATATGACATTCTAAAAATGAACATAACATTAGTACCGAATGACCATATATACAAAAACTTACAAGATGCACATTAATGCATCAATGCGCATCTTTGTGCATTAATATTGATATGAAAACGCAAAGTTTGTTCATTGAACATCAAGACATTTTCATTGAGTATCAAATCCTTTTTATTGAGATGAAAATCACGGTTTCTATTAAATGAGCATTAACAAACTGTTAATGAGCATCAGGCCTATTTTGTTGAGTATTAGGAGTCCAATATTGAGCATCGTGATTTCTGCTGCATAACTTCTGGTTCACTTTTTTTTTTCTTTTTTTTTTCTTTTATAAAATTACTTAAATTGTATCTATAATCAACTCCTATGGATTCCAATATACAGATCTAATTTAATATTAAACTTTTGAAGTATGCATTCATTTGAAAATCGTAAGTTGTGCTCTTTGAGCATGAAGATATTTTCATTGAGCATCAAGTCCCCTCTATTGAACATTGAAACTCTACAATTATACATAAAATTTGCTCAATATATGAACAAAAATTCACTTCGGAATTTGTTGTTGGGCATAACTAATTAGAATATAATTTTAATGAGACTATTAGATCATTACTAGTTAAATAGAGTGATGAAGATGTTTGAATAAGATTGTCATTACCTTTAATGTTTTCAAAATTCAAATTGAGTCAATTTTGAGAAAATTTTTACAATTATTCAAATAAAGGGAAAAATGGAAGGGAGAAATCCAGCCAATGTTGAGGTGTGCAGGAGCATCGAGAGAGGAGGGGTGCATAGAGTTCAAATGGATGAATAAATGGTATAATACTTAGGCTGAAGCTGGTAAAGAATTAAAAAATACCAGTATATAAATACACCCGGGTATACCTTATAATTTGCGTTTTTTTCCCTTCAAATGTACCGAACACCAAAGGAAGGAAGGTATAACTACATAGAGATGTAGTTGGTGGGGCCTGAGCTATAAAAAACTCATTTTTCTTTAAATGGTTATAACTTTTTTTATTTTTGTTTCAATTTTTACAAAATATATATATCAAAATTCATAATTTTTGTGATCTTTCATATAAGATAAATATCAAATAAATAAAAATTTAATTTATTAATAACCTCTATAAATATGTATAAAATTATCTATGACTCAAATATGTTTCAAAATTCAAATTGAGTCAATATGCTTCAAAATTCAAATTGAGTCAATTTAATAACCTCTATAAGAAAGAAGTACACTATTAAAAATATTGTCTTCCACTTATGCCATGTGGCTTCACCTTTTGCATTTTTGCGAAAAAATGTCTATGCATGTAGAGAAAATGGGGAGAGTGGATAAAAAGTGTGTCAAACGGAATTTTTCAAATTTATTAAGGGAGAATATGACTTTGCACCCCATGTTTTGGTTAATATTGGACTTTGCACCCCATTTTCAAAATCATTAATATTTGCACCCTATTTCACTATATAATCATTTGACTTTGCACCCCACTCCTTCACAATTTTTGAGCTAATGGGGTGCAAATATTAATGATTTTGAATATAGGGTCCAAAGTCAAATTCCCCCATTAATTAAATGTAAACAATGTTCTAAAAGGCGCTAGGCACTAGTCGGGCACCAGCCCAGCGCCTAGTGCCTAGGCGGCTAGGCGGGTGCCTAATCGGGGACTAGTCGGAGACAAAGAAATCGCATTGTTATCTATATTTTTGCATAAATATGATAAGTAATATTGTATTTTTGTGTGTATAAAATACATATATACATATACAATAACAAACATGAATGATAGAATTATCACATTTAATCATATGTACTATATAATAACTAATCACTTAACTTCATTATGTTATAAATATAAATAATGATGAAATTTAGGTATATATAGAAACATACTCCGGGTATATAGTTTTATTTTAATTTACATCTTCATTTCTTTATATCCATGGCAAAAGCTAAAGTACGTATATCGCTTAGAAAACTAAAATTAAAAAGTAAAGTAATGTTTGGCGAATCTAGACGACCTAGGCGGCCGATTAGGCGCTCTAGATAGGCAACTAGGCGGCATAGGTGGCCGACTAATTCACCTAGACGGTAAACCAATTAGTCGGAGCGCCTAGACGAAAATCGGGGCGCCCGACCACCGCCTAGTGCCTAGGCGGGGACTAGTCGGACGCCTAGAACGATTTTTAGAACAGAGAATGTAAACATCTGCAATTAATACATCTTCTAAGACATCATATTTCCAGTGGATCTACACTTATGATCGTCTCAGGGTGGAATCAGGACACTAGATCGAATTGAGCCGGTCCGTATAAAGAATATTTTGTGAAAAATTTACACGTAATTTCTTACACCAAAACTTATAAAAGGGCGTTTTTTAAGTTTGGGATGAGAAGAAGTCTAAGTTGCCCCCTAACACTGCCCCGGGTAGTCTGGACTCTGTGTGGTCTGTCTAGTGCAACCTAATTTTTTCTTAATCTTTTGATTTTAAATTTTTGCATTTTCTATTTAGCCCATTGACTATTACGTAATTACTCCTTAGCCCACCTCAATTTTAATTTGAGAGATTTACCTTAATAGGATCAAAACATGGCTTTTTTCTCAAAATAGGAGTACCTAGTTTAAACATCCTTAAATAGAACTTTTTATTAGTGATTGGACCAAAATACCCCTCACAACCTTTACCACTGCTGCCCAGGGACTACCGGACCGCCGCCTGGCGCCACCGGCCGCCGGAAAAATTCCAGATTTTTTTCTGGAGGTTTGCCAACATTCTGCCGCCACCTGCTGCCGGCCACCAGCGGCGCCGCCGCCGCCGGAAATCGCTGCCGCCAAACTGCCGCCACCTCCGGACTGACCCGCTACCAACAGACTGCCTTGGTTGTGCAAGAGAACTGGGGGGGCAATTAATTGGGTTAATTAATTGCCGGAGTTGCCGCCGCCGGCCGCTGCCGGAGTGTTGCCGCCACCACAGACTGCCCCGCCACCGACGGACTGCCTTGGTTGTGCAAGGAAACTAGGGGGGGCAATTATTTAGGTCAATTAATTAATTAAATAGAATTAGGGGTAAAAAAGGTAAAGTTAGTCCTATTTAGAGAAAAAGTGGTCTTATTTTGAGAAAAAGGTTGAGTTTTAGTCCTATGTTGGACAATTTTCTCTTTTAATTTTGAATCTACTCCTTTATTTATACCTAGCCTCTCGTACTTCATACCAATTCCTATTAATAAAGGTGATGCTTTCTTCTGATTCCTATTACCTTCAACTACACGTAAAGATACTTCAAAACAATGCAAGAAAAGAAAATAACAAACATGATACAGAATACGCTGAAAACAGAATTCAAATATATGTATAAAATGCACAAAAAGAATAAAAAAAGAAGACCCCAAAAGAGACACGAAATGGTTGACCCAATATTCCAAATGTAGAATGCCGCAAAGGTGCAAAGCCCTCACTCCTCCTATTTCCAAGTCTCAAAAAATTATGCTCAAATTAATAGAAAACTCTAGGTGTTATCTTTTTTTTGTTTTTAACTAATTTCATGTTGAGCATGATTCTTCTCATTTATATATCAGAAAAATGTAAATCTAGTCCTCTAATTTATACACATGTCTATTTTTAGTCTTATAATTTTTCATGTTTACAGATTTAGTCCTCACACAGTCACACCGGTGATAAAATTTTAGGTATGTATTTCACCGAAAATGTATCTTGTCTAGTGAAAATCTTTAATATGAACAAGTTTATTAATTATAGGGCCAAATATGCAAGTCATTAATTAGTGTTAAAGTATTAATCATCCAAAAGTTGCAGCACTACAATAAAAATTAGTTTATTTAAACACCGGCTATTAAAAAATGCAAGAATAGTTAATAATTTAATACTACGTATGAATATTTCTAATGAACATCATTTTGCGTAACATGGTTTGGTTTTACATATTAATAAAAAATACTAAGGTGCTACATAATAATCATAGTAACATGTATACATAGTACAACATTCAGAGTATTTGAAAGAGTATACACATCATCATATCATTCTTTTATTCTTTGAAGAATTCAATTAACTAGGCAAAAAGTTCATAAAGAAGAATTTTAGAGGATGGTGGTGGTCGTGATAATGATAATAATTATGATAAGGATGATGATAATAATTAATGATAATAATAATAGTAGTATAGTAATAATAACACGTGATAAGAATTATACGAAGCAATAAGCTAAGAATTGTTAGAGACTTGGGCGAGATGACAAAGGAGATGGATCTGAATTGAAGATGTGAGGTTAAGTATCAGACACTAATAACAGCTCAGCCCAGATGGAGTCCATGTCTAAAGACGGCATTCTGTTTAGTTGAACACCTTCCTCATTCTCGGGTGGCACCGCCGCCGCCGCCCCTTCGGTTCTCCTTTTCTTGACCACCACCGTCGTCTCCGCCGCCCGCGGAGGCGGTGGAGTAAGGCGTTCATCGCTCCTCTTCATCATCTCCTTATTGTTTGTAGTGTTGCTACCTTTCCTCCTCAGAGTCCCGGCCACAACCCCTTGCGATATCGCCCGCAGTTTGGCCTCGATGAGGGCCGCCGTGGTTCCGCCGCCATTATTCGAGCAGCTATCCTTTAGCCGGTGCTTCATCTCAGGGAAGTTGAGGTTGGCGTAGTCCCCCCTCAGCATGTACGCCGCGGTGTCGTAGGCGAATGCAGCGTCTTCCGCGGTGTCGAAAGTCCCCAGCCACACCCTCGTCCGGTTCCGAGGCAGCCGTATCTCCGCCACCCATTTCCCCCAATGCCGTTGTCTCACGCCCCTGAAAAGTTTACCGGGAGGCCGCGCTGTCGGATATAACGACTTATCCGACATCGCCCTTTTCCCGGCGTGTTTCAGGGGCTGAGTTCTGGTGTTGGCATGCCAGAAATCAGTGAAACTCTTGGAAGGGTCGTTAGTTTTTGCAGTTAAGGCTTGATCCATCTTCAGCCAGCTATTTGTGAAGTGACCATTTTGCCCAAATAGCGGGAAATTGAATACGGAGGGCGTTTTTGGGATTTCCACAACCGAAGGTTGCTGCAAGAACAGTCCTAGAATTGGGCTGCTCAGATGGGTACCGCCGTTGGATCCTTCGTTGCCATGATCATGATGAGCGGGAGAGATTCCGGCCAGTTGATCGGAGAAGATGACGCCGCCGGTGTGAAGAGATGGAGCTGTGTGATTGTATTCGTTAACTACCACACGATCTGCTGCCGTCGAGAAACATGTTGATGACGATGATAAGGTTGTCATTGAATATGTGTTTGCATAAGGTTTCGTCTGATTTTTTTGACAAAACTTTTCTTTCAAATTCTTAAATGAGTTTTGAAGATTTAGATCGAATATATACACAAAAAGTGGAGATGAGGATATGATGGTCAATGACGATGCATATAATATGCATAAGGCAGGTAGCATGGTATTTATATATTATTAAAAGCACGCTAAGTGCTCCTCACGTGGAATTGGTGCTACACTGATTATTTTTTAGAGAAATTGGCGCTACCGTGATTATTAGAAAAGAAATTGTCCCATATAGGACTAGAATAAGACTAGAATGCTTAAATAGGACCTCTAATAATAATTTCCCATGATAGGACCGTATTAGTCCTCTCTTGAATCACCCGGTTTCCCCCGTACAATATTGCTCTTGTATCATCGAACTCCCTTAGCTTGTCCCAAGTCCTAACCATTTTTTCCCCTGTTTTTATCTCTCCCGTTTTCCTCTCCGGACAGTTATGAAATTTCTCTTTCATTCTCTCCCAATTTTTCACGTGTCATTAATTCCTTCCATTTTCTTCCCTGTTTCTCCGTTGAAGTAACCGATCAACTCAAGGCTTCTCCTTTCTTCTCTGGCGATTTTCAGATCAACATCACTTTGTGAGGGCGCTGTAATTCTTCATTATTCTGGTAACACTTGATTCTATCGCTATCATGTATTTCACTTTGTCGTTATTGAACATTCTTATGTAATTCGCATATGGTTTGTATGATCTTATAGCATGTTTTTTTTCTGTTATATTTCATGGTTGTATACATTTTCATGGAAATATGGTATGTATAATCTTCTCGTTCATTGTGAATTCATGGACTATTTTATTGGTTAATATCATGTTAATGACTTGTGTTCACATTGCTCTGCTTTGCATATTAACTTTATAATGTCATATTTTTGGCATAAGTTTTATTCATGTTTGGCATATCGTTAGTCATTTTCTTTGACCAATTTATTTCTCTTCCCCTAGCTATCCATATGGATTCGATTCTATTGTTCTGATTGTTATGCGGTTGGATGGGAGCTGGACTAACGATTACAACTTCATTAGTAACGCCACCTTTGCTATTCAAGTTCAATTCGTTATTCGGCTACATACAAAGACTTTATAGAACAACTTTCTCCCATATTATTTGATTATAAGCCAACAAAAAACTTCAAGTTATCTCATATGGTTCATGGCTGCCCTCCACCTATTCATATCAATGATGAAGCCAGTTTTTGATTTTTCCTCAACCTTAAGGTTGTGCAGACTGATTTCAGAAAGTACCCCTTGTGTGTGGAATTCTCAGTTGATGTTTATAATCCTTGCACGGTCACTCGAGTAGCAAATGGTATACTTCAAATTTCTGCTTCACCAAATGAAGATTTTTCTGAAGAAGATGGTAGTGTTAGTGGTGAGAAATCTGAATCTGACAATTACACCATTGTTAATCATGAATCTGACCTCACACAAATATCAAACAGTCCTGTTACAACTATTGATGCCCTATGTCATATTCCATTGAATGATGTGAGCCCTTGTCAGTCGCCTCCTCATCATTTATTTTTCACTCATTCATCTTCCATCCATCATAATTTGGAAGTTATTACGCACTACCATCCCACTCAAATAATTTTGCATGGTATATACAAGTGTAAGTCTGTCCTCAGTCTTCATTTGAAGTTTATGCGATTGATAATGGTTTTCAGTACACAACACGTTCTTCAAGAAAACTGTTTTGCATGTTGTTTGTCTTGATGAAGAAAATTGTAAATGGGCTGTCAGGGCTATCAAGTTATATGGTGTTCAAATGTTTCCGATCAGAAGGTTTGTCCCCTTATCTTTTTTCCCTTTTTGCTCTGTTATATTCTTCCATATTTTTGGCATTTCCGATGTACTTGACTAATTTCCTTACATACAGGTTTAACTTAACGCACAACTGCTCCCTTGATTTTAGGCAAGGAAACCATAGACAAGCGACATATCACACTGTTGCAGAGCTGATTTTTCATAAATATTTGGATGCCTCAAAAAAACCATATGCATCACATCAAATAAGGGAAGAAATGAGTGTATCCTATGGCATTTCCATGTCATATAAGAAATCCTGGAAAGCTCAAAAGTTAGCAATGCAAAAGCAATTTGGATCAGATTCAGAGTCTTATCAAAAACTACCTTCCATGGCATATATGCTTGACAAGGCAAATCCAGATTCTGTTATTTCTCTAACCATAGGTGATGCAGATGAGTTTCAAAACTTTTTTATGTCTCTTTCACCTTGGCGGAAGGCATGGGATTTTTGCAGACCTGTTTTAATTGTAGATGAGTCATTCATGAAGGCGTACTACAAGGGGACACTACTTACAGCCTGTGCCCAAGATGCTGACGGTCATATTGTCCCGATAGCTTATGGAATTTGGGATTCTGAATCCAAAGCCTCGTGGAATTGGTTTTTTACCAAAGTGAGAGAATCCATAACCTTTAGACAAGATATGTTTATCATATCTGACCGACATGAATGCATTCTCAGTGCTGCCAAGTAGATTTTCCCTCACGCTCTTCATGGCTATTGTGTGGCGCACCTTCGGCGTAACATGATTCCTAATTTTAAGGGCGGTAAGAATTAAAGCTGGAAATTCAGAGCTGCATATGATGCTTCGACAGTCAAGGAATATGAGGAATATATGTGCTTGTTGGATTCTGAAGATGTCCGTATACGACCTTGGCTTGAAAAGATTGGCGTTGAAAAGTGGGCTAAATGCATGTCCAGTCCTAGGATATATGATGTGATGACTTCAAATTGTGCTGAATCTCTTAACAATGTTAATGTTTCTGCGAGGGAGTATTCTATATCAAAACTAGTTGACTTTCTGAGGGAAAGAATGAAGTTGTGGTTCACTGAAAGGAAAGAACTTGCTGAGAAAACGTGCACTATTTTGGCTACTAAACGTGAGAAGCATTTGGTGGCGCGTCAAGGTCAGGCTTGCAGGATGCAGGTAAGTGATTTTGTTTGTTTTTTAATAGTCTTGTTGTGTAAAAAACAACTGCACTCAGTTAGTTTGTATCATCAACTTGGTTCACTACTATCATACGTATAATTCCAAATATGTGGCATATTTTTCCTGAGAATTTTTGCATTCTGCCATGTTTTCATATTACAGTGACAACCTTTTAAGTAGCTTTCCATCTTTGTCCTCTATGCTTTTAACTTTTATAAAAAATGCAGGTAAAGCCAGCGTCTTATATAGAGTTTGAAGTTGTGGATAGGCACTGTCGCTCATTTTTGGTTGACCTCAATGCTAAGACATGTACTTGCAACGTCTTTCAATTGACTCACTTCGTTTGTGTGCATGCAGTTGCTGCTATTGGTACCCGCCCTGCCATGTCATGTTATTCTTTTATATCTCCATATTACACTCGTGATACTTGGCTGTCCACTTGGAGTGCTGTTATGCATCCTATCTGAGACGTACAGTCTTGGTTGGTTCCTTCCCATATTTTACAAGTTCGTTGCAAGCCTCCTTCGTGTTCAAAAAGACCGCCCGGTTGCCCAAAGAAGTCAAGAATTTCATCAATTGGTGAACAACGTGGAACCAAGCGTAGAAAATGTTCTCGTCGTAATGCTCTTGGTCACAACAAAAAAACTTGTCTCAATCCCCTACCTTCTATACATGATTGATGTATTTTTTTAGCTTTTTATTCCAACATAATTTCCTTCTGCTAGTACCCCAGTTTAATTCTTAAGATTTATTGATGTTTTTATTTGATTGCTTCCAATCACTATTAGTCAACTCTTTTGTTTCGTATCATAAGGTGAATTCTGACAATTTTCATTTCAACTACATAATGTAAATTTCAAGCGTTTGCTTCGACTTTTTGCCATCTGATGCCGTATTATGAACATGCAAAAAAAACATTGTTTTTTTTCTTAAAAAATTTAAGGAGTTTATTAAACCATATAGATAAACAATGTTAGGTTAAAGTACAAATCTTGATGAGGTCCTGACCACTCAAGAGACACAGGCATACACCAAACATATAAAGAACCTATACAACAAAACCTATACAACACAATGAGACAATAATGAAAAACACTCAACTTGAATAAACCCCATATCTTAACAAAATTCATTATCTATGTGAACTTAAAAACTCTAATTCGTTATTGCCAATATTGTGGCAGTAATGCCAAAATCGAAACCATTACTTCCAAAATATATCATTACATTTGTGTTCTTCCATCTAAAAAAACACATGAGCGCTTTTCCACTTTGATGTGCACACATCACCAATTCATTTTTCATTTAATATCCAAACATGCATACACTTTAATTGCAAACACTAGGTCATTTCCGACATCAAACAAAACACGTGTATGCTCTTTTTAGAAAAAAATAAAATAAAAAACGGTAGCATCACAACATAAAAATTGTCTCCAAAATATAACATTTCACACAAGTCATGAAAACCACTTTGCTGCTTTTCAACTATCATTCTGCCATCTTTCACTTCGCCATCCTCTCTATCAGTCCCTTCTTGTGTTGTTCCTCCATTCTCTTTTTGTTATACAACACTAACTCTGTAGCCATTTTACTCCTATACATGGGCATGTCCTTTGACCGAACCTCTTGAACATCTTTTCCCATCATTAAGAACTCAGCAAACTTCAACAAGAACATGCCACAGTTGCCCCTACAAACATGACACAACATTAAGAACAAATTCATTTGTCTTTACATATTATTCTTCAAATTATTGAAATTTTTAATTGATAGATATCCCGAGTAAAATGTTACCCGTCATCCTGTTGTGGGCAATCAACAGCTTCTAACTCCAACAACTTTTCACACATACGTTCATCCCCTATTTCCTTATACACATCGTGCACGTCCATGATTTTAGGAAGCAACCACTGCATGCCATGTATATAAGGTCTAATGTCTCGTAAACTTTCAGCCCTTCTACTTTTGGAATTGTAAACCCTTTTTTTTACTTCCAACACAAGCAAAACCCAGTGGCTTCCAGTGCTAACAGGTAGGTACACGAACTCAGATTTTTCCCAACCCCGAGAGAATGGTGAAGCACTGCCTTGAATGTCATCTTCGATTACTGCAATGTTTGCTGCTTCTTACACCGTCAACTCACCTTTTTGTATCTTCTCATTCTCATGCCTAAACATTTGCATAAAATATGGCCCACTTACGCTGTAGGCGTGATTCACCGGGTATTGCACTTGTTTAACATTCAAATTGTACATTCCAACATATACATGCTGCAAAAAAATACATCACACCAATTATCAAGCAATATTCCAGTTTGCATATTTTTTTCATTTTTAATGCAACAATTAAATTAACTTTTAAACTACTAAAAGCTCAAGACAGAAACATCACTGTATCATCCAACCATTCCGGACTGGTAAACAATTTGTATAGCCATGTTTTGGACTCTATTTTGGCCACATCGAGAATAAACGGTACACGACCCATGTTGTCCTCTCCCATAAGGTACTTCCTGTTACCACTTAGCTTTGTTGGCTTCTTCATCAAACCAACTCGAAGAAAATCTGCCACCTTCTTTATTTCTTCTTCAGGTGGGCATTTGGTTGGGTCTTGTGGAAAGGGTCCATATTTTTTGCAGGTAAAAAATTGTCCACTTCAGCTCTTTTTGCCCTTTCCTTCCTTCTCTTCTTTGCCGCTGTAGTCGCCTCTGCTGGTGTATATCGGTCCGGTGATCTTGCAAGGCGTTGTGTTCTTACAATTGGTGCACATGTGGTCTCAATCTATACCGTAACAAATGCATAAATAACAATATGTTTCAATTAAATTTCCACTATTATGACTTCACATTCGCACAAATTCAAATCTGGTGCTTACCGATTTTCCCTTTGTGTCCTCTGCTTGCACCTTTGTCTTCTCTTTGTTCCCATTATCACCATTACCTTGACGGGGCTCCTGTAATTGCACCTTTGCAGCATTCTGTAAAAGAAAAATATTAATTCTTAAATTAGTAAATGATTAATTACTTTTGCATTTTGTACTTTAATATATTCAAGTAAACACTCAAATATTTACCTCCCCGCCTGGACTATGATCTACTTCACTTTTTCCCCCTAGAACAAGTTTTTCAACTTTACCCGCACTAGTGATTATTTCGGTCACAAATTGAGTATTGAAATCTTCCCAACATACTTCCACATTCTCTCCCCTTCTTTCATCAATTTCTTCAAAACCATCCATTCCTTCCTGTTCGCATTTACTCTATTTCCCCCCATCTTCCTTTTCCTCGCTTACTCCCTTTTCTGCCATTTCTTCATCCTCCTTTTCACTTGCATTTATTTCTCTTCTCTCACCAGAGCCATCATCATGTTTCTGTTCATTCCTTACTTCTCCATCAATATCCATATGCCCTTGCTCCACTCCAACCACGGTTTCGGCATCTTTATTACACTGTAATGCAATTTCTTCCCTTTCATCTTGTACTACTTCTTCCTGGAATTGCTCTTGTGTTTCTAACCCAATAATATTATATGTGGGCATACTAGTTATCACTACATCATCATCATCTGCACTTGCAGTATCTTCTGTTTCGTTCACCTCTGCGTCTACTTCTCCGCCAGACCCTTCTTCGTTTTTATTTGTATCATCCTCGCTCAATTTGACCTCATTCTTGTTCTTGTTGTCCATACCTTTCAGTATCCGTTTCAACAACGACTCATGCCTCTTTTGTGTTTTTCAGACTTCCCTCAATTCTGCCAACATCTTGGCATTCTCCTTACTCAGTTTGCGCATATTCCTCAACGCCACGTCTGCCTTTCTACCACTGCCGAAACCAACCCTCCCACCATTCTGCTCCTCCTCTTCCTCCTCCTCCTCAGATTCCTTATGTTCTACCCTAGTTAGCTTTTTTCCATTTTAAACGCGTTTTAAACACGTATCGTTTTTTGACCAAAAAAACACGTTTAAAAAGGGGGGAAATGTCGGTCCGTTTAAAAAGGAAAAAAACTCCTACTTCCCGTATAAAACGTATTTTTCCCGTATTTTACTAAAAACATAAACATGAATTGACTAATTGAATGAATGCACTAAATGCATAGAAGATCAACAATAGTGTAAAAGTAAAAATGAAAACGTTCACCCTATGATCTCATGTTTTTGTATTATTACAGTGCAATTATTAAATACTCGTACTAAAATTAATTGCATGATGGCTAAAGCTAGCATCGTGAAATACTAAAACTTACGTAGTAATATACTACAATATTTCTGATGTTTTTTTTTTAAACTAGCATATCAAAATTAAGATTTTTCTAAACCCAACGTTTTTTTAGCATAAGCTTTTACACAAACAATAATAAGTGTAGCAATCACACAACTTTTGTCATATGTCATCTTAATGAAAATGATGAGTTTAACTTGAGTATTATTATTTGATGATCATATAAAGATAATGATTTTTTGACATTATTTTTCAAAATTATGTTCTAGACTTGATTACTGTTTTTATTTTTGTCATCGACTTATGCAATTATGAACTATTCTTGTATGTAGTAATGAGATTTGCTATTTGAATATGTGTATACTTTTATTTCCTTTTTACTATATATGTTATTTTATGAAATATATCATTCAGATGTTCAAAATAATACCCGTATTTTTCGTCCGAATTTTTGTAGTAGATAACGTATTATACATGTAAACGTATTTACATGTTTTTTAAAAGTTAACGTTTTTTTCAACGAATTTTTTACCGTCTTTTTCATTCATGTTACCGAATAAAACGCGTACGTATTAAACCTCGTTTAATTCCCGTACCGTATTTAACTAACTAGGTGTTCTATAGTGGCTTTCTTTGTTGATTTTTTCTTAGGTGTCGCTGAATTATTTAACTTGACATTCTTTCTTTTTTTCTCAAACACCTTAACCCCCTCTATCCTATCTCCACTATCACTTCCCAAGGATAGTAAATTTGGAAACTCTTCAATTTCCATATTTGTAGCCTTCATCTTTTCCCACTCAAACTGCATAACAAAAAAACAACAAATTATAAGTTAAAACAAGTTATAAGCTAAAACACAGTAACACAAAAATAACAGCTTATAAGTTATAATTTAAAACTGAGTAAGGTGTACTACCCATTCATTGTTGAAAATTATTTTGCTCAAGAGTTCCAAAGATGGTCTCTTAACATATGACCACTTCACTACCCTCGGTATTCGCGTCTCTCGCCGTGGAATGACACTGCATATTCCTTTTTTGGGCATCCTTGTGAAGCTCTCAAATGCCCACCCTTGAATGGCAAACAAACATCCTGACAGTGTAACGTGATACCCTTTGCATTTCTTTAAACTCTTCGCATTAGTCCTCATGTTCTCCATTAGATCACCCCAAACATCATCTCCCTATGGATACTCATTAAATTGATCCAGACT